GGTATAAAAAAGTGTAAATGATATTGGTTAAATAAAATAGTTTATATATGATTCAGGGCTTGTGCCTTTTTTCTGTTTAATAATTTTGCCAGTATTTACAAATGTCTCCAAATGTCTCCCTCTACCTAATGTGATGATAGATCTAACATTAACAAGGACCAACACGTTTTTCATTTATCTCAATGTTTTGTACCTTTAAATGACCAAAAAAACAAACACTTATTTTTAAAAATAGTAAATAAATAATATTGACTAAATAAAGCTGCAAAATCACTTACTTGGGTTAGTTATTAGTTACCTTTATACTTAAAAGCATGCAGGCTAAAATGGGTTACCTGACAAGAAAAACAAACTATAAAGAGTAAAAACACTCTTTTCTTGGGTTTTATTGCTTCCTTGGACAAACTGGGACTTTCTCCTACAGTATGAACAGCTTCCACTGTTTCTGTTGACTTAGCAGCATGTTCACATCTGTCACTAGGAATGTCCCAGAGCTTTAGAAATGGGCAACACTAGCAAACAAAAACCTTTTAAACAGCTGCTATGTGTCAGAGTGGCTGACATGTGCTGTGACTGTCAAACAATATAGAGCCCCTTTCCCCCTGCAGACCTGCAGCTGAATGGAAAATATAAGGGTCTGAATTGGTTTGTGATGGATGTGTCTTTCTGTGATTGTAGAGTGTTACACTGAGGGTTTTGTTTTAGTGTCTACCATCAATCATCTTTTTGCTTGTCCTTTTCACTCTCTGGCTGTTTCATCGACATCCTACACCGGGGGCTGCACTTCAGATTATTGCAACACTGTTGCTTTTAAGGTCCACGTGATTCTAACACCTCTGTATACAGTAATTAAAATAAAACCAAAGTTATTTTTAAAATAAAATGCAAAGAGAGAATTTTTAATATGAAGCATGGCCAAAGAAAGGACGGTGAATAAAGATCCTCATTAAAGATTTGATACAAATCACCACACAGGAACACTAAAAGAAAAAAAAACAACTTTTGTTTAAATGTTTTCCAACACTGAGATTCAGGGATGAAACTGACAATTTCACTAATCTGCACAAACAATTCCTAAATGACTTCTTACAGTGTTTGAAATGCCCACAAGCTTTTTCTGAATCTCTAGCCTGCATAACTTGGCCATCCTGGCCATCTGAAAAGCATTCTGCACTATCTGCAATCTACAGGCTTACTTATCCGTGCCAGCTTGTAATAAAACACAACTATTGCAACTTTGATCACTTTTATCACTCAGCAGCTGATGAAACTTGCAGACACAAAGAGCTGACTCGCTGATAAAATCGTGAAATTTGCCTCTTTTGTGTGTAACACCTGTTTCTTTTTGGTATTGCATAAAAAGAAATCATGTAATTAACTATGCTATCCGAATTTGAGGATTTTGCACAGTTATAATCCGTTTTAAAATTGATTTAATTTGAATTACTCACATTTGCAACCAATAAAGCAAATAACATCTCTTCTTCTCTGCAGCATGTTCTCGTGCTTGAATGTAACAATAAACTGTATAACCAATAGCAATAAATCTACTTTTCTGTGCTTTGTGTCATAAGACCTGATCGATTTTGTTGAGAGATACTTGTGTGATTGAGGAACGAAGAAGGGTCTGTTTTCAATTAGCAGTGTGGCGAGTTTTTGCACGATTCTTCAGATAAATTAAAAGGCATCGCTTTATTGTAGCGGTGAAGTCGAGCAATGAGAAATGATGCTGTGGGTCATTAGGCTCAGTGGTCCCGTTTGAGGTGGTTTAAAAGCCTCCATTATGGCCTGCGACGAGCTAAATGGACTTTCAAATTGCATTTCATGTTGCATGTGACTTAAATCCAAATATGCTCGTGGACGTGAGCCGAAGTATTCATTTAAACAGAACCGCAGTAAAGGTTGTATTTGAAGGGACTGTTGGAGCTTAATAAACTAAAGCAATTAAATTATTGGCAGATTTAAAGAAAATATTATTATTATTATTATTATTATTATTATTATTAAACCATATAATTGACACACACAATTTTGCGTAACGAAAATCTTTCCATTTCTCAATCTACCTGGTTGGGTTAATACATTTTCCACATCTCCAACACATCAGCACATCCTGCCACCGCAATTCTAATTTCATAATTTCAGGTTAAGTAACACTTCTCGTCATCAGACAGTCGCTCCGGGATGGAGGGCCGCGGGTGGGACTTACCGACACACTCGTTGGCCTCCCTGGCTGTGGCTCTCTGCCACGGTCTGTCGTAGTGAAAAGGTTTGCACCTGTCGCACTCGGGCCCGGCGGTGTTGTGCTTACACTCACACACCAGATTCCCGTCTCGGTCCTTTACGCACCGAGATGCGTGTCCGTTGCATTTGCATCTCCCTCCGACCTGCAGGTCCGACACTGAGTAGAAATACGAGTCCCGGGCCAGTTCCGAGTCGTCCTCATTCTCGTCGCCGAAAGTGTGCAACCTGCTGAAGATGACCTTAATGTCCGTGGCTGTGACCCAGTCCTGCAGCACCGGGGAGTTGTCAAAGTCATGCGCCGACGGTCTGCCGTCCAGCGTGCTGAAGGCGATGAGCCCGCCGGTCAGAGGGTAGATGTCGGTGTGTGAGTCCGTGCAGACTGCCTCCTGCTCGTTCTGTTTTGTGATAACGGCCCTGTTGGGCTTGTTATACATCTTCCTGCACTGGGTAGAGTAAAACTGAAAGGGTACCCAAGTTTTCCCGTAGTCCATGGACTTGTAAATAGCCATGGATTCGGGTCGGGGCGAGCAGAACTGTAGGCTCACATACGTTACCTCAAACTTCTTGCCGAGGGACAGAGTCAGGGTGACATTTTGCGGGTACTGGATGAAGTTCTCAGACTGCCAGCAGGTGAGGTTGTGAGGGTTGTTAAGATCCGTTAGATACGCTGGTGGGTGATACTTCTTGGGGTCAGAGGCGTCGCAGGTGTGACAGTTTCTGGTTTTCTCCTCTCCTATCTCGGCAGAGGTCACCAGGCAGTAGCGACTCGGCGTCTTGCCGCAGGTACTGGACACCCTCACTTCCTTCCCGAAGGCGGAGTTGACGAAGTCCGGGATGCAGCGCCGCGGGTTGCCGTGTTCGTCGTAGCAGGGATCCGGAGGAGAGGTCTGTGCTGCAAACGTGCTCATCCCGTACCCTCCAGAGGCGCTCCTGCACGACAGGGACACGGCGAGCAGCAAAACCAGCACAACATCCACAGCTCTTATCATGGTGGCTCCGTGATCCCCCAAGTGTGTCTGCAGAGTTGAGAGGGAACACAGAGAGCACGAGAGTGAGTTATTTTAGTGATGACACAAAAATATATTAATATCTGATAAAAAAAATATAAGTGATAAAAAACTGGAGTATATTTATTCCTAATTTTGCTTATCTAAAATCTATAAAAGCTCACTTTACCTGAGATTTATTTTAAATAATGTAAAAGACCGGCGAAGACGCGCTACTTTTCTCACTCGTTGGTCTCGGTTTGTTTGTTTCTTCCAATCTCTTGCGTAAAAATAGAGAAACGGATGGATTTAAGAGTCGCTTGTGTCCTTATAGCAAGTCCCGCTCCTCCTGCCGGTCTTTTCAAAATTTCTCTCTCTCCCTCCCTCTCTCGCTCTCTCTCTCTCCACATATTCTCTCGCGTGGATCGGATCTTGCTTGGCACGGCTTTAGGTCAGTTCATCTTGGGTGACAGCAGGCGGAACAACGACGTCCACTGGTGGCGCTTCAGGAGACTGTTGCGGTAGTGGGGCGCAAATTACCTCAGGAGAGAAGACAGAGAAGTGTGAATCTGAGAGACCCCCCCTCCCCAGTTGATCCGGTACTTTATGCTGGGTTGAGCACGTTTAGCAGAAAACAGTGAAATCACCCTTCCATACAGTAAAGCCCTGCTATATCCACGAAATATTTGCAGTTTTCTTCCTCTTCTACTTCTTTTTTCTTTCTTTTTGCCCAAGGCCAAACTGGTCCTAATTTACCATTTACTTTCCCAATTTTTAAAAGTATTGGCATTTCACCATTTAAAAAATGACTTAATTTCATTCTGTTATGTGTAATTATTTTTAAACGACATCAACATAAAATGTTTCAGAAGGACAAAAGGAAAGGTCTTATGTCCCTCTCAGGTTTCTGTCCACAGTGGAACAGTTGGAGGGATTAGGTTTACTTAAAATGAAACAGGCACTAAATTGTGGAGTGCGCCAATAATGTGCTCTTTTTACTATGTTAAATTCGAGTGTTTAGATTATTTGGAGAGCAATTAAGCGTTTTTTTCTTGGTTTCTTATTGGAAACCAAACTGCTTCGGGATAGCAGCCATACTCAGTTGCAGAATGACGCCAGCGTTTGTACTTTCACACGGGTCGGGTCTTGAAAAATAAAACATTTGCACACCAGATTCAAGGCTTTTTTTTCTGTGCAGGGTTTCAGAATACATGCCTCTTGAGTTGGAAATCTTCTGTGACCAGCTGCTCCATGAGACCTGTTGAATATTGGCACAAAAAGTAACCGCGCCATCTTGTGCCCATGGAGGGAAACAGCAGCTCAGCGTTCAGTGACCGGCTGGTACTGTCTGTATATTCCAGGTGATGGAGGTATAACACCACGTAGAATAAAGACCTTCACTGCTTAAAGGAGTGAAGCATGGGCTCTTATGATAGCCAGAAATTTTCAAGACATATTACCTGAAATTAACACATTAAGGCATCAATTACTCATTTCATTCAATGCATTTTTTTAAACTTTTTATCTTATACTACCTACACAACAAATTCGCTTTACAAAATCAGTCAGATTGGAAAGTTTGTTAACATGCTCGAAGTTCAGGAATACTAGAAAAGCTACAAGAAAATTCACATTAAATTGTAAAAAATAATGTTTTTGTTTTTTAGGCTCCGTGCTGGTTGAATCTGAGCGCTTTTGTAGACCTCTGCATGTGTTCAGTTGTTGGCATCAGCAGTGAAATCATCAATAAAAAGACGCTGTGCCAGTTCTTTTGGCACCTGAACAAGCCCCAACAGAAGCACAACAACGTCTGACAGATGAAATGCAATTGAGATCACTGGCAGAGTTTTATTTTTGTCCATAGAATTTTGGGGGGATGTAGCCTACAAAAATATTGCTCAGTGCACTCCCAAAAGTTTATTTTTTTTCCACCTTGTGAGGAATTAACTGCTCATCCTCATGATTCCTCGTGCTGTCTGGTCCTTTGCCATTTCCTAATTTTCCCGTGGTGAGTTGCATTTCCAAAATGAAAGTTTATGATACAGTACTAGCAAAGCATACACTTTGATGTTGCCAAAACAGAAGTCCACCTCAACCTAAAGGCAACTTAGTCAACTCTGTTGTAGATGAACTGAGATAAAAACCACAAATGAGAAACATTTAGAGGCTGAGTGTTCGTGGTTCCTGTGAATCCTTAACATTTGGGGATCGTGTTTTAAAATAATTTGAGGTGATAAAATTATTTTATACAGTATTGAAATGAATTCTTCGTTTCTTTGTATTTTGCTTCTAATGTGCCAGACGTTTGTTCAATTTTGAGTAGGGGTCTTGAACAAGACTTGTCCAGTATACTGACGTTCTTTCAAGGTTTTACTTCAGACATTGGCTGCTTTTTCATTTATTTTCAGTCTAGTCTTTGTACCAGATAATTTTCAGAGGAATGTTTTGTTTCCTCGTTCTTTACTTGACACTGACCTATGAATCATTTCGGCATAAAAGGGGACGTAACTTACGGTGCCACTTTTATGCTTGAATGATTCATATAACAGACAGCTTTGCATAGAGACAATTGTATTTTTAGGCCCTTTGTTAGTAGCCACCTGTCTCAAAAGCATGAAACTTTTTTCCTTCTGTCCTTTTTTCCCCAAGGTGAATCTACAAAAAATGCCAACACTCTTTCATGGGTATAAAATGGTATTCTTACACCAACAAGGTGATTCCCAAAGAGTTATTAGTAAAAAAAACAAAAACAAAAAAAACTTGTTTTATTTTGGGATGGTGTGCAGCCCATCCTTCAAAAAAACTGAGGAAGTTGTGCAAAAAAAAAGAAGTTGCAGGCCTAAACATAACTATCTATCATGATGAACAGTATCTGAAAGTTATGTTCTTAAGAAATGGGAAAAAATACTGAAAAGAGTTGACGCAGGACTTGAGAGATTACCCAGCTGAAGGGCCAGATGAGACCTTTTCTGATGAAGTTTCAGGAAAACCTTATCAGAACTGGTCTCGGTGGAAGAGTGGCTGTTAAGAAGTCCTTCTTAAGGAAGGTTAACAGGGAGAAAAGCTTGAGGTATGCCAAACTACACAAGAAGTGGATATTGGTGACTACCAGTCTTATGGAGTGACTGATTCAAATGAAAGATGTTGGTTTAGCTTGTTAAAAGAAAGAGATGAGGAGAGAGGTAAAACAACGAGTGTCTACAGCCATCTGTAAAACACAGTGAAGGCTGTGTCATGGTGTGTGGCTGCATTTGAGCCGGTGGTGTTTGAGATGTAGTTAAAAATAATGGAATTATGAACACAGAAAAGTACCGTCAGATTTTGATCACCGCGCAATCTGGAAAGCATGTGACTGGCAACAAGTTTGTTTTTCAGCATGACAAACAAAGTTGTTCTGCTTCTTTGCTCATGTGTTTTAGCATTTAATCTTCAAGTTATTATTTCATGGTTTGTCTTTGGTTTTAAATCCACAAAGCAACTGAATTACACAGGAATAAAGAAAAATGCAGCACAAGAATTTCAGTTTAATTCAATTCAGTTTTATTTATATAGCACCAAATCACAACAACAGTTGCCTCAAGGTGCGTTATATTGTAAGATAAAGATCCTACAATAACAGAGAGAAAACAATCAGCTGGACCCCGTGGGCAAGCACTCTGTGACTGTAGGAAGGAAAAACTCAGACAGGAAGAAACCTCAGACAGAACCAGGCTCAGAGAGAGACAGCCATCCACCGTGACCAGTTGGGGTGAGGGGAGGGAGACAACACAAAAGACTTGCTGTGGAAGAGAGCCAGAGATTAATAATAACTAATGATTTAATACAGAGGTGTGTATAAACACATACTGACTGAAAAAGGTGAGTAAAGAAGAAACTCTCGGTACATTGTGGGAACCCCCCAGTTCACTAGACCTATTGCAGTGTAACTAAAGGAGGGTTCAGGGTCACCTGATCCAGCCCCAACTATATGATTTATCAAAAAGGAAAGTTTTAAGCCTGATCGTAAAAGCAGAGAGAGCGTCTATCTCCCAAATCCAAACAGGGAGCTGGTTCCACAGAAGAGGGGCTTTAAAACAGAACTTTCTGTCTCCCATTCTACTCTTTGTAGTCCCACTTAATACTTTTAGTGCAGCGTTGTGGATCAATTGACTATTTTTCAGGGAGTTTTTAAAACAACCTGATAAAAATGAATTACAATAGTCCAACCTAAAAAAAAAGATATTTCAGGGAATCCTTTTTTAAGAAATTCACATCCAGCACACGGAACTTTCTTTCTGTGGACAGATCTTTATAAAACATGGTCGTCCTGCTCCTTATCTTTTTCATTTGTCTGTGGCTTTACGTCCTGATTTTCAAATATTATAACAATTACAAGTGTGTTTTTATTTCTCTTTGTCAAATTTTTGCTTAGTTTCCATGCACTGTTTGCATCTTCTCTATCAGTCAGTGAAGTTCTGCAGTGCATATCCTTTTGCAGTCTCCCATTCTGTTATTTCCTCCAAGCCTTTTGGCATGACATGGCTACTGAGTTTGCATCAGAGCTGGATAGTCTCATGATAGAACTGGTAGATCCAGCATGATATTTGATGTCACAGTGATCATTGTGACTGACAAAAGACAGGCAACAACAAACAACAAGCTGATAAACAAACCCTACACTAAATCTCTGCGCTCCTTTTTTCATAAATAGACTATATTTAAACATGTATATTTCCTAAAAACTGAGTTTAAGATTACATTGAAGCTCTGTGGGAATATAATATGTCGTTTTAAAATGTATTTTTAATATAAAAAATATACATATATTCTGTGTATTATGTAAAAATTACCTTTCTTTATAACTAGAAACTAAATCTAAATCAATGTTATATTCATTAACTTATATTGTATAAGCTTTGGATCCAGATGCTGCTGTGCTGGTAGTGAGTGACAAGAGTTCTGAGCCGAAACGCAGACAGTGTTTACTGTCACTGGTTTGTTTAGCTTGCCACTGCATTTCCCTCTCTTTAAGAGAAGGGGAATTCAAAGTCACACAAATAGATAACATGTAAATGACAAGCAAATCGACAGGGGAAGTAAGGCTAGTGTTTCCCTGACAGAATGGGGTTGGCAGAGAAAATGAAAAACTCAGAGTCCGCAGGTTTGAGTAATTTCTCTGTCATTCAAAATAGTTATTTTTAACACTTGAATTTAAAAGACACCGAAAATACAGAAATACATATCTTGGGTTTAAGTGAACGTAATGTGCGCATAAAACGCACACATGAAGCGTGACTTCTTTTCCGAGGCCAACATCATGCACAGGTCTAGAAACACACGGATTACCACACAGTTCCAC